ACATGCAAAAATTTGCACATTTACAGTTGTTCCCGCCACATATACATATTTCCTCATCTTCTATTTCTCTTGCTCAAAAGTTTAGAACCTAAAAAAATATTTAACATAGAGTCATCTAAAAAAACCCAGGAGTAATCACTCTCCTAAACTATAATAACGCAAGAGAAGGAGCCCGTGCAGACTGAATAAAAGGTGGAGACAACCAGTGCTCCTAACTCTGTCTCAATAAGTGATTTACATCAGATTTTGCCCAAACAATATGATGATTACTTTCACCAAGCAGGAAGCAATAGAAGAAATGAATAATGACACGAAAGAGAATGCAGACGTCAAAAAGAAGTCTCAAATTTCAGCCGAAAAGAAAGATATGTTAGTAATTCAAGCTAAGCCTGTGAGAAAGACTCTGGTTGGATTACTATTGGTTATTCTATAAAATAATGGATTTTATGAGCCAGAACCAGCATAGAAGCAACCCTTATTGAGAGAATCGTTGAATAATCTGAGTAAAAATCTACCTCGTAGGTTCTAATAACTATTGAATGAGGTACAGTCGGTCTTCCATACCTTCATAACTACTGAAGGAGGACAAACCAGCCTTTCAAAACAATTTAGGAGAGTAATCACTCTCTAAACTACAGTAACGCAAGAAAGAAAGAAAAATATTCAAGCCGGTCTTTCATATCTCTATAAGAAATCTTTGAATAATCTAATATATGTATCAATAACTTTTACTCAAGAAAATACTCCCAACTTATATATGCATTTACTTTTATAGTATGCTCTAAGGTTTATCTAAAATTTATTTCTACTTTATACAATTAACATTCACACTAAAAGCATCGTCAAACCAGAACATAACACACCCCAGAAATATATTATCTCGTCAGTACAAAGATTAGGCATCTAAATATCATAATTGTCTAAGAAGAAAAAGTTCTTACCCACCCAAGCAAATATTCCCTCATCCGCACAATCGTTGGCAAATATAATTACTCACATTGACTCTAAATGGTTTTCTTGCTCTCGAATTTGTACTCACATTGACTCTAAATGGTTTTCTTGCTCTCGGATTTGTTTGCCTCCTTCAATTTAGCACATATAATATAAATTATTGTATTTAATAAATTTATTGCATATTACAACATTAAAGTTCAATTATCTCATCTTAATAATGAAATCATTAAATTAATACCAATATTAAAAAACAATAATTTAAACAAATTAATTTTGAAAGGTAAACTCTAACCATTACTGTTTCAAAACTCCTCGATCAACAATAAAAAATTTTCCTACACCTTGATTTTCTAGCATTGATTATCATGAATCTGATTTAGTACTTACCTATCATATTAATATAACTAAATCATAAAGCAACAAACAAAATTAAATCATTTCATAGTAAAACATTCCATTAACAACATTTAGTTCAAATACACACTCATATATACATATATATATATATAGAGATACACACACGCACACTAAAATTCTTACCTTTCTCTTTAAAATAACTTGTGTTTGATCAACAGCCCCAAACGCTCACGAGACCTGCTAGCTTCGCCCCATTTTCCTCTCCTTCCCTCACACAGCACGGGCGCCTTCTCCTTCCTCTTCCTACAAGCATGGGGACTTCCAGCTAGGGGTGTAAACGAATATTTCAAGCCGTTTATATTTCGAGCTCAAAAAGTGTGTTTGTGTTCGACTCGTTTGTTTAACGAGCCGAACACGAGCTGTTCACGAAAAAAAAGTCCTTTTAACAACCCTAAACACGTAGCCACTAGGGGTTTGAGCAAGATTTAAAAGTTATTATTTATATTAAAACATCATTTGAATCTAATTTAATAATTTTTATTCTATTTTCTTAATTAATATTTTAATT